AGTACCTTTAGAGATGTACAACATTCTAAGGAGATTCAGGGACAGAGCGAGACAGGGAACGGAATGAATAGTTGAGAGATGCTACATAGGTGATGATAGTTAGGATGGGCTTGGAAGGATCAACTATAGCCTTTTGGCAGGTATATAGCTATTTGCCAGAAAAAGGAGAAGAGGACATTTCAGGAGGAGGAAACATTAAGTAACTTGGATTACGGATGAAGCAGAATATTTTCAATATACGGAATGTTGAAAATTAGGTTGAAAAGATGGGGATCATACTAGGCAGACTTTTGTAATGATAGTGTGAGAAACCTGTACCCAAAAACCACTTCAAAAGACACCTAGTACATATTTAAACTAAGGAAATAACACTAAAAGAACAACACAAAAGATTTTTGTTGTCTTACTGCTGAATTCTCATACAGAAGACAATGCCTGATTCTGGATCATTTCAATTTACGGCAAATAATACTAAGCCCCCTCCTACCCCCACCCTCAAATTATCCTCACTCATGAAAAGGAACATCAAGGATGAATAATCTGACCTAAGGCAAGCAGCAGAGTATCCTTTAATCTCTGTTAGGGTCAAATCTCAATGTGCAGAAGTGATCATATAGGTAGCTTGATAAAAATGGAAACGCCCAGGTCCCACTCACCTCATCCAGTCTGATCACTAAGTGTGTTGAATCTGTATTTTTTATAAGCATCACCAATGAATCATTCGCAGATAGTCTACAGACCACGTTTTGAAAAATACTGACATACAGCAAGGTTCCCAGCATGGCACCATGTAGCCAGGCAATAAAAGCAGGCTCCATCACTGAACATAGCGATATATATCCAGATGACTTGCAGCTAGGTATACTTCCAAGTGAGACACAGGCAAACTTAACACCCCTAAGGCTGTAATACTAAAAGCCATTTAAGTCAGAGTCATGCCCCAAACCCTGGTTTTTGTACCATTCCAGTTATAGTCATTTCTTAAATTATAATCATGTAGACAAAATAACCAAATTTCCTTACTATGATTCTAAGCTCAAAAAATTCCTGATTACTCTCCTGAGAAAATAAACTCTAATTTCTGACAGATTAAAGAACTGGCAGAAAGTATTATAATCAAGAAATGAAAAGTAAAATGCTCAGTTTGTTGACAGAGTCAAAGCAAGGTAAATATCAATGAATTTTTCAGTCTAAGGGTTAAATGTAATCTAGATCCAACCATAATGAGAATGAATACTTACTTAAACACAAATCTGGAGGTGAAGCAATGGAGGGCAGGGAAAAATGTAAGGTTGTAAGCCTGTCTCCAAAACGGCTACATCAATGCCCTCCATCCCACTCCTCTCCCCACCTTTGGGCACAAGCCATCTTCCCATGAGGAGGTGAAGTCTATTTCTACATTTTCTTGATTCAGGGCAGACAGGTCACTTCTCTGACCAAGAGAATACAGTAAAAGTAACACTGCATCATTTTCTAAGCTAGGTCGTAAGACAACCTTGCAGCTTGGGCCTTTCGCTAAGTCTCTGGGAACACTCGCTCTGGAGGAAGTCAGGCACCTAGTAAGAAGTCTGATTATCCTGAAGCCACTATTAAATGAGGAAGCCCAAGCTAGCCATGCCCTCCAGACCATGTGAAGACAGATGATTCACCTGCCCTCATCTATTCTAGCCACCACAAACCAGGCATCAGACATACGATGAGAAACCTTTATGTCTCAGACGCTATTTAACTGCAACCTTATGAGTGACCCACAGGAAAAATTGCCGCTGAATTCAGTCAACACGTAAACTGCTGTTTTAAAACATTATGCTTTGGGGCTGGGCATGGTGGCTCATGCCTGTAATCCTAGCACTCTGGGAGGCCAAGGCGGGAGGATTGTTTGAGCTCAGGAGTTCGAAACCAGCCTGAGCAAGAAGCGAGACCCTGTCTCTACTAAAAAATAGAAAGAAATTAATCGGACAACTAAAAATATATAGAAAAATTAGCCGGGTATGGTGGCACATGCCTGTAGTCCCAGCTACTCGGGAGGCTGAGGCAGAAGGATTGCTTGAGCCCAGGAGTTTGAGGTTGCTGTGAGCTAGGACGACATCATGGCACTCTAGCCAGGGCAACACAGTGAGACTGTCTCAAAAAAAAAAAAAAAAAAAAAACATTATGCTTTGGGTAGATTTCTACAAAGTAAAAGATAACCAGAACAGCTGTCCAAGCTTTCATCTGATCTCATTTTCCAACTTTTCATTACGTAAACTTAACCTATTATAGTCACTGTTCCCAACACTTTACTCAATGCTATTGTTCAAGCTAGTATATGTAATGGAATGCTGCCATATACCACAGCAGGTTCTCAATAAATTTGGCATTTATGAGCATGTCAACAGGAATTCTTTATAAGTTTAATATCTATACAGAAATAGGCTTAATTAGGAGTTTATTTGGAAAAACTGAATAAAGTATTTCTACATCTCCTGAAATGGCCAATTTTTCTCACATATCCACATGCCTTGTTCCCTCATCCCTTTTCAGGTCTATATTCAAAAATTACTGAGGCTTTCGTGGCCACCCTATTTAAAATTGCACCTCTTCCTACCCCACTAACTTTGAACACTTGCCTGTTTTTTTTTCCTCATTACACTTATAATACCACATATTTTTCCCATTTAAATTATTTGTCAGACTCCACTAAACTCTAAATCCCAGGAGCACAGGGATTTTTGTCTGTTTTGTACACTTCCACATTCCCATGCCTGGAAGAGTACCTAGAACTTAATAGACACCCAACTATCACCTGTAAAATTAATGAATGAATCAAAAACAAAAATGGGTAAATAGAAGGTCTCTTACTTCAGGAATGAAATTATCCTTTATCCCTTTTAAAAAAATGCTTTTACAGTTAGACACAAAATCCTGTAAATCCATTCACTAAAAATGCTCTTTAAACTGCCTTTTAGTTCTCACTCAAAACTTGGTTTAGCTTGACTTTGAGTTCCTCCGTGTCACTACCAATTATTTTTCTTTTAGCAAATATGACACAGGATACTTCTGAATCACATCAGCAATTCAATAACAGGAATTGCCGGAACAAGGAAGTGTGGCAATATTATAGCCTGGGCTAGTAGGCACAGTCAGCAAGTCAAATAATTTTCCTTCCCTAGTGGAAGATAAAAATACTTGCTTTAAAAGAATAACCTGGCTTTTTTGCACCCTTCCTCTGCTCTCCCTTTGCTGCAACAATGGGTCCGGTCATCATTTGTGGCATATATTCCATGCTCTCTCTGTAAACCTATATCTTGCTCTTGCCCTATAGTCCCTACCTTTCCTTCCTCAATAAACCTCATTTTCGTGCTCGCCTAAAACAAACAAACAAACAAAAATAACAACCTGGATATAAATCTATCTACCACATTCCTTCATGTCTTTAACTAATTTCCATTTCTGCTTCACTTATTTTTCCCCCAGACTACTGGTTGTATTGGTTTAGGCACTGATTGTGTCCCCTCTAACAGTCTCGTGATTCCTACTGGTCTGCAGAGTTCTTTAGCAAGTTCCATAATGTCTGTCCCTCTAGCTTCTGACTTGCTGTAAAAAACAAACAAACTACAAATGTCTGTCCCTGAATATATCAAAATGTACAGGGCAAATCATCATTTGATGATGACAGGCTACTGAGTCACCATAATCCCTGCTGGCTGCAAGGAAGATGATAGGGAAAGCAAATATTACTCTTACCCGGTAAGTTACTGTCTGACCTAGACTTACCCTCTCTGACAAAACCCTACACTTAAGTCTACCTACCTGACAAAGATTTAAAGGTAAAAATCAAGTTGTGGCCTCTCTAGAGCATACTGGTAATTTAAGTTATTGAAATAAAAATAAAACCTTCTTTTCCCTTTCTTCATGCCAATACTCCTAAATCATTCTTACTATACCTTTCTTTATCTTTAAAGAAATTCCGAAGCTTTCAAGATTTGATTGAAACCCAAACCTGACATTTAGAGCCTTTCTCAACTTCATCCCTTACCTATTCCTCAATGTCCTCTTAAATCCCATCTCCTCTGCATGAACTTCTCAAGTTCCTCCATTCAGAATTTCTCTCCTCCTTTCTCACCATAGTTACTTTAGTCCCAACACTTCTTGTTATTAACCATGTCACCTATGTGAGTATGTGCCTAGCTCCCACAAGCCTGAGAGTCTGTAGAATTAAATGCAAGATTCCAAGGAATATGCCTGGCACCGTGCTTTAGGTTTGTAGCCATCCAGTAAGAGTTGAATTTTTGTACTCCCTATGGTGAAATTCACTCCCTCAATAAAAAGTTAAGGGAGGACAATTGTATCAAGCACTGTGTTGGCCACTGATGATCAAGGATCATGTGCCATCCCAGGCGTCCAAATACAGAAGGGGACCAGTTTCCTTTCTGCCTATCCAATCTCTCACATACTTTTCACAAACCCAGTTCAAATACCACCTGGCCCCAACCACTCTCATCTGCAGTACCAAGCACACAGCTGATGCATAAATCCTCCACAGCCTGACTGCTACTTAAGAACAGGACCTTGAACCTCTTCGAAGAAACACGGCAGTGTAACCAAAAGGCAAAGACTGTGCAAAAGCACAGACTACCTAAAATTCCAATTCCCCCATTACTACCTTTGTGACCTTGGACAAATCAGCTAATGTTTTTGAACTTCGGCTCCCTTGTTTGTGAAACTAAGGTATACAAACGCCATCTACCTCACTGAGTTATTACAACGAACAAGAAATACTTTTTAAATGTTGAAAAGCGATTGAATCAAATCCAAAGACTTAGTAGGTGTTCAATAAAGTTAATCTCCCTTCCTCGAAAGTGCCAGCACTATGATTTGCACATAGTGGCCGCCGGCTACTCCGTGGAGCCGGGAGAGCGGCCGTGTACAGCGCACGCGTCCCAGGCACACCTGCCAGATGTGCGGTCCTCGCGGTCGGAGACGCCTCGGCCATCCCCCACCCCTGCACCGGGCCTCACCTTGATGGTCGTAGACGCTAATGTAGGAGATGCCCACGGCCATACACCACACCACTAGGCTCGCGATGTCCGAGAAACTGGGTTCCTGCTCCTCCTCGGTGATCACCAGGCCCATATGCACAGGCAGCTTTTCCAGGGAACGGCCGTCCGCGCGCCAGCGGAGCCGGCGGTGGGCAGCGGCGGGGCCCGGCCCCCCGTGCGGATGCCGGTGGTGACGGCGGTTTCTGCCGACAGCCGGGCGCTTGCGGAGCGTGAAGCCGAGTGGCGCTAGGACCGCGGCAGAGGCGGCGCGGCAGCAGCGCCGCCAGATCCAGTTCCAGGTGCCGAACCGAACGCGGAGCCAGGAGGTGAGCGTGCGGTGCAGGCAGAGCAGCGCGTGCAGCACCCGCCACACCAGTTCGTACAGCCCCGTCATACTCTTGTGGCGCTCGGGCGCCTTCACCTCCCTCCCGCCCACACCCGCGGCGCGACGGCTTTTTATCCGCCCCTTCGGCCGGCGCGGGCCATAGCTCCGCGTCCCCCCGCCCCCCGCGCCCGAGCCCCTTTCCACTGCCAACACCTCACCTCGCCCCCGCCGCCATCTTCCTCCTCCCTTGGCAGCCCCGCCCCCGATAGTACATGGATAGTTCCGATTGGCCGGCGTGGAACTCTGACGAGACTTCTGGGTCCGAGGATGTGCTCTAGCCCGGCACGGCGAGGGAGGGAGTGCGCCTGCGAACTAGGAGGACCCGAGACCGAGGGCGCCCCCTGGCTGTGTGGAGGGCGAGGAGCGGATGCCAGCAAGATACACGTGGTCTTGGGTGGAATGGGCGGTTCCAGTGACCCGGCGTCCCTCGGGTCTTGGGCGTCTTATACTGTCTCCTCTCACGGGTCAAACAGAAACGGTTTCCAAGGAGTAAAAGTGGCATAAGGGGATTAGGAATTACAAATGCCAGAAAGAATCTGGGGTGGAAAGTAGCCTTCAGCAAGTGTTGATGCTAGGGATCAACTAGGGTCCCCAAAAGGAAAGTGTTTGCAAAGGCTGAAGTGGTCCTGCTACTGTTCTTTGTTCAACTTCCCAGCTAAGGCTCATTCTTCCCAGAGTAGGGATGAGGCTCCTCAGTAATGTTCGTGCTTCACACCTCTACCCAGGTCATTTCCTTATAAACGGTACCCTTACTAGATGTCCATTGCTTAGTATAACATAAAAGAGAGGCTCCACTGCCTGGTAGTTCAGTCACTTCATTCTTTTATTCATTCATTCGGCAAGTGATTATTGACCACCAGGTTTATAGTGGGGAGGAAACTAGACACTGCGCCTGACCTCGATCACCACCACCATTTGATGCAAACTGCGCACCCAGCCTTATCATCCCCTTAGCACACCCGAATGATCTGGCCCATGTGGACTTCAAAGTGGTCCTTTAAGCCAGTTCTATGCTTCCCTGCAGCAGTTCTGTACTGTTTTTGTCCCTTTTGCTCAAGCTCTTCCGTTCTCCTGAATTCCTGTTTCTCAGCTAGATATTGCCCAAATTCCAACCCATTTCTTAAGGCTGATTCTACATGCCATATCCTCGATCATCATCTATATGTGTGTGCAATAATAATGATATTTATTTTACTTATATAAATTTTACATATTTCTCTGTATAAACAGCTGCATTTTTGTAATACCTACCTAATCTTTGTTCTCTAAAGCCCTGTTTCCCTGCTGGGAAACATCTGTTAACATCTTGGCTATGGGCCTTTCTTTTTAAAATCACTGTCCCTTTTACAACTAGTCTCATTTCAATTTCTAAGACTCATTTCACTTTTATTTTACTTTTTCTTTTTTTTTTTTTTTTTTTTTTTGGTGAGACAGGGTGTTTCTATATCACCCAGGCTGGTCTTAAACTCCTAGGCTCAAGCCATCCTCCTGCCTCAGCCTCCCAAGTAGCTTGGGACTACAGGGACACACCACCACGCCCTCACTTCACTGTATTTTAAAATTCGAATCTCATGTTCATCTCAAAATTGTCCTCCGTTTGGCAGCTCAGCCTGAGGAAGTGAAGGCTGGGCATCAGGCACACCCTTCACACACTTCTCTGTCTCCTTTTCACCAGCTCCTATGATTATGGACAAAGAAGAAGGAGAGGGAAAAGCCATGATCAGGAAAGCCCACAGTCTTCTGCCTCACTGGCCATTGCTGCTGTTTATGCAGCTGCAGGATACTCTGCTAAGGAAGCTCCCTAGGCACCAGCGTCCCATTGAGATTGGGCTGTGTATTTTGCACACCCTGCTCCTCCCCAGCACTGACACTCTGCCACATTTCTCTGATGTACTCACTTCTTTGCTGCAATGTTTGCCACTTCTGACAAGATTAGCACCATCAATCTCATGTCCCCATGATCGGCACTCAGGTCTGCAGACACAGGCAGGCTATATCTTTTGTACTTCTTTGAATTGCAAGCTTAAACAAAAGGTTCTGGCCACATCTCCATCTGATAATCCTCACCAATATGTGGATCCTGGCATCTCTCTCCAATTGTTTGTTTGTTTGTTTTGCTTCTGGATTTTCCGCCTAGTAATATCTCTTCTAAAGAGGTGTGAAGCAGCAGGGGCTATTTTTCTTCTTTGGCACCTTTCAGTAGGCTAAGAACGGAGGTGTCTTGTACAAAACAGTTCTCTGGGTAGCCTTGGACCAAAGCAGCTCCCTGCCCTTTCTTGCTTGTAGTTCTCAAGAATAACTGTAGAATGTGTTAGAACGTAACATCCTGAGATAAGGAGGAACTGGTCAGAACAGCCCAGGCTCGTTCCTGTCCGTCCCAGAAACAGGATGTTCTTCAACACTTTAGCCCAGCATGTCTCATTGCGGTGGGGTATAAAACCCAGGACAAACTGCCTTTATGGAGTCTCTGAGCTACAGTGCAAGTGGGGCACAGGCAGATGAGACTCCGTCCTCCCTCAGCCTTGGGGAATGGGCTAATCATGAATCTGATCCTTCTGTTGTCCTTTGCTGCCTATCGGTAAGTAATAAACCCACTCCGTGTCACTTGTGTGCGTGTTCTATCTCACCGGGCTCAGGCATTTGAAAAAGTGCAGTCCAAGATGCAATGGGCTCAACTGATAACCAGTGCACAGTGAACCTGCTTTGCATCTAGTGATTACTACCAACTTCTCTGCACTCAGAAGGAGTTAAAAATTCAATGCTCTTTTGTTCTCAGACACAGTTCTGGAACAACAAGAAAACCACACTGGATTTCTTGCTCTGTACATAAATCCAAAGTTTACGGAGTTCTCTCTCTTCTAAAGATTTTCTTATTTTGTCATTTCAAAAAAGGAGTAAATATGACATTTTTAGGAATTTGGGGGCTTTAGGATATAAGGTATGGACTTATTAAACATATTTAACACTTCACCCCTCAAATTCTACCAGGGACAAAAAAATGCAGAAAGAGTTATGTAGCCTCAGAAAGACGTTAAATCCCAAACATTGTGGGAACAGTATTTGATTTACTTTTCAGTTTACAAATTGCTTTACGTTACCTTAATACTCACAACCAATATATGAACTATGTAGACCAGGTGGAATCATCTTCATTTTACAGGAAAGAAAATTTTTAAAGAGATGAACAGGCATTTAAGGGTAATGAGTAAGGGCCTGGGCTCTGATTCAGTAGAACCAATTCAGCCTGCTAATCCTCTTACTCCCTTCCCTGAATCCTCAACTGTAAAGTAGAGATGGTGCCATGGAGATAATGATATCCCTGGCTGCATTTGACTGTGGTAAGGATTGAGGTGATAACGTGCATGATGTGCTTATCTTTTTGTCTCTGGTTAGTAGTGAGTGCTCAGTAATTTACTGCAGAAAAAAAATGGGGCAAAATTTCAATAAGCTTTCTTAGAAAGGACATTATCATATAGCATGTTTTTCATTCTTGACAATTGTAACCTTGTGGTTAAACTAGTACAAATAGCTCTTTAAATGGACCATTTTTTTCATTAAAAAGTAAAATCCTCTAAGCTTGAACTGCTGGATCTTGAAGCATAAAGAATAGCAATATTGAGAAAAAAATGTTGACTCAAACAGCAAACTTTGGTTTTCATTAAGCCGCATTCTAAGAAGAGAACTAAGTGCAAGAATTTAAAATGAATATTATTTAAAATATAGTCTTGTAAAATTTTCAAGCCCCAAGAACAAGACTGTATGTTTTAATTAATGTTTGTAATGATATCCTTGCAAATGAATGCTTAAAACCTTCAAACTAGAAAAAAAAAAAAGGAAGGAAGAAAGGAAGAGATACTTGGAAACGCAACAAGCTGAACTCATCGATAAACTTCTCAAAAAGTGAAAAAAGAAAAAGAAAAAGACATGCAGTTCAGGTAGTTCCTGTATGCCCCACACATATACAGCCTCCCCAACTGTCAACATCTTGACAGAGTGGTACCTACGTGGACACATTGATAGATGTCAATTATATCCAGTTGATTGATGGTGGTGTTGAGTTCAACTCTGTCCTTAACGATTTTCTGCCTACTAGGTTTGTCCATTTCTGTTAGATGGGTGTTGAAGTCTCCAACTATAATAGTGGATTCATCATTTTTCTTTACATTTCTATCAGTTTTCGCCTCACATATTTTGACACTCTTGTTAGGTACATGCATATTAAGGATTTTTATATCTTCTTGGAGAACTGACCTTTTCATTATGCAATGCTTTTCTTTATCCTTGAAAATTCTCCTTGCTCAGAAGTCTGCTCTATCTGAAATTAATATAGCTACTCTTGTTTTCTTTTAATTAGTGTTGGCATGGTACATCTTTCTCCATCCCTTTACTTTTAATCCATATGTGTAGTTTTATTTAAAGTAGGTTTCTTATAGATAGCATATATTTGGATCTCATTTTTTGATCCACTTTGACAGTCTTCTTTTAATTGGTATATTTAGACCATTAGTGTTTAAAATGTTTATTGATATAGTTAGATTAATATTTACCATATTTATTACTCTTTTCTATTTACTGCCCTTGTTTTTTGTTACTATTTGTGTCTTCTACTCTTTTTCTGCCTTCTGTGGTTTTAATTGAGCATTTTATATCATTCCATATTTCCTCCTTTCTTAGCATATCAGTTATATGTGGGGTTTTTTTTTTTACTGTTTTTAGTGGTTGCCCTAGATTTTGCAATATATATTTACAAATAATCCAAGCCCACTTTCAAATAATGCTACACCTGTACGCATACATACATAGTATGTGCTTTATTTATAAAAGATTGACTGATTTGACTGTCTAGAGAATAAAATTTTCTGTCAGACAAAAGACATCATAAACCAAGCCAAAAGAAAAATGATGGTTTGGGTGAAAATACTAGTAATATATCTGAGAAAATAGGAGTTAGGAAAGTGAAAGTCAAATCAATGAGAAACCATTTTTTTCACCCATCAGATTGGCAAAAAGTAAGACCAAGGATAATGCTGATGACTGTATGGAAACAGGAACCCACAAGCACTGCCGATAAGAGTGTAAGTTGCTACAACATTTAGAGGAAGTAATCTTTGTAAAATTATCTAGTAAGATCAATTAAAATCAAAAATACCGTAGTCAACACAGGGATCCCATTTTGGAATTTCATTACGTTTCCAACTGACTCATTATCATGAGC